ATTGAAAAGTATATACAAGATTTATTAAACTGCAAGAAGAACTTTTACAAATAGTAAGAAATGTAGGTGGTTAAACTTAGAAGATACACCAAAATACCAGAGAACTGAAAAAAAACAAGAACAACCCCAAAACAATGAAATGCCATTTTGGGGGGGGGGATGATAAACCACTAGAAAACTTTAAAAGATAATTGTTAGAATTGCAAAGGTGTGAAGAAATGGATATCTCAGGGTCATACTATGACTTTCACAACCCTAGACACATTCGCCACCTCAGATTCCCTACCTCGAAACAATACAGAAATATATTTTGTGTTTAGCTTCTAACCTAATGGTTGGTGGTTTGAACTCATCAAGCAGTACTGTGAAAGAAAAACCTGGCAATCTACCTCCAGAAAGAGACAGCCGTGCAAACCTTATGGTAAGCAGAAAAAGTGTAGCTATAGTTGGATATTGTCATTTGTGTCATAAAACAAAATGTGAATAAGTGGTTAGATGCAAAGCCAATTTGTTCTATAACCTTTCACTCAAATCACAAATTTTAAAAAAATTTCTTTTTAGAGGCAAACAAACCTATGGAGCAGTTCTGTAACACATGAGGTTGCCATGAGCTGGAAAGGATTCAGTGGTAAAAATTAGGTTTTGACTTTGGTTTTAAAACTAATATAATTGGGGAGCTCTGGTGGCCTAGTAGCAAGAAGCTGCACTACAATAATTTTGGGGAGCTTTGGTGGCCTAGTAGCAAGAAGCTGCACTACAATAATTTTGGGGAGCTCTGGTGGCCTAGTAGCAAGAAGCTGCACTACAATCCCAGAGGTATGTGGTTCAAATCCATCAGATGTTCTGCTGGAGAAAGAGGAGCAATCTCTTCCTGTACCAGTCAGATCCAATTTGATGGTACATACACAAAAGATAATAAGAAAAATCTTTTAAAAAACTGATATAATTATGTCATATTCATTATTATCTACTCTTATTCTGATTCGAAAAGAAATGAAAATGAAAACAAGTTTATCGCCACTACGAATGTTCTTTTCATAGACCTTAAGCAGGATAATCTGGTTCTGGGATAACCTCATAGGAGTTAGTAGGAAAAAACCCTTTTTTTGATGAGTAATTTGGCAGTATCTATCAATTTCACAATATGTATTCCTTTAGAACTAGCAATTACATTTTTAAGAATTTATTGCATAAAAATATTTACATAAGTAGACAGAGGCATATGTATAAGGAAATTAATTGCATCATTTTTTTGTAGTTGAAAAAATTTAAAACCGTCTAAAGATCCATCAGTTAGGATATGGTTTTAATCCACTTTGACAAAGGAAAAAGATTTACATTGATTAATGTGGAAAGTTCTCTATAACACACTTTTGAATGAAAAAGTCTGATTACAAAACAATATTCTGTGTAATTCTAATATTTTTCTAATTACTTCCAGAAATTAGAGAGATACACTACAAACTGTTAATAAAATAATATCTAGCACAGAAGACTTGAGAAATCTCACAATTAATACCCAGTTGTAAGAATTCTTATAACAATCATTTATTACTTATATAACAAAAAATATATTTACATTCTGAAGAGAAATGGAAATATCTCTTTTTTTATAAAATCTGGAGCTTCTCTGAGAAAAGTGGGCTTTCACACCAAGAAGCATGAAAAGACCTTCAAGTAGCCAAATTCTGACTGGCTTTTCCCCAAATTGTCCTGCAAATCAGAAGGGGAAAGACAGCAATATATTCAAAGCATTCAAAAAGCTAATGACTGGATTTTCTTTATAAGCTACATTTGTATAAATGAGGTGTTCACCTGGTCCTGACAAAGATTTCCCTGCTCGCAGGCCAGCCCTCATCCAAAGGACAAGTAGGTTTAAAGCAAAAGAAGCAAAGTTCCGAGTGACAGTTAGAGGGGTGACAGTTGGAGAGTAGGGTTGGCCAAGAACTCCCCTTGCCTACAGAAGTAGTCAGAGGGTTAATATGCTCTATCCTGGGCCTAAGTTCCCTCCTAAGTTTACCCTTGAGTCTCTCCTCTTCTAGGTCAAAGGACAGTATGAAAGCTGTTTTGAAACATTAGCAAGAGGCTGCCATAACTCTTTGAAGCAGGAGGAAGATGTATATGAAACTAGGGGAGCCCATCAAGGATCTTTTTCTCATAATTCTTTTAAAAGTAATACAAAATAGATGTTGAGTTTTGCTGTAGATGATGATGTTTATGTCTCTCATAGTTCAGGAAAATTTACAGGCTGCAAGCCCATGTGGAAACTTGGGAGTTCTAATTCAGGTTGGTTGCTGAGAGAAGTCAAATGACTAACTTGCAGTGAAGATAAGCCCCACTACCCTTCATATCTAGTCAGGGAGAGAAACAGGAGAAGAAACTTGTCCTGAATGGAGATTGTTGTTAAGAAACCATCCCCTTGACAGTGTGTGTGTGTGTGTATCGTCTTTTTATTTTCTAGTTTGAGTTCTAATGAACCATACAAAAAACTAAATCATGTAAATTAGACTACAGTAGGATACTAATAGTCTTCTGAGAAACTTGGCTTTATTTTTTTGCCTTAATGTGAATTTTAAGACGTTGGGAGGCATATAAACATATTCAGAGCATAAACACACACACACGTAACATCAGACTAATTTACACACACACGTAACATCAGACTAATTTACACACACACACACACACACACACAGAGTAACATCAGACTAATTTTCTGGTGCATCTCATAAATAATCCTCCATTGCATTTCCAAGGCTAGAAATGAACAGGAGGACACTACCGATCTTTGTCTCATAGAGCCACTGGTGGATTCAAATCACCAGAGAGGGTTGGGTTGGCCTTTGGGAATATCTCATAGTTCCCAAATGGTCTCTTCATACTCCTGATGAATTCTTCCTGTGGGTGCAGGTTGGTACCTGTCTCACACTGTGTCAGTTTGAGAGTTCTCTAGAACCTCTGGGAGCCCTGGTCTGACCACCTATGACTTTGGCTTTCCTTGAGGTACAGCCCAGAGAGCAGGAGTTTGAGTTAGTTTCTTCATTAATAGAGCTTTCCTGGGTTTGTTTTTATTTCCCTACCTGTTTTCCTCACCTCCTAGTTTTACATAAACCTCATAAAAATTGTCTATATGATGAGCTTAAATCAAATTTAAATAAGCTTCAAAGCATTGAATTCTATATATTACATAACTATAGTGGAAGTAAGCTAAAAGTCAGTGCTGAAGAGGTAAAAATCTCCATATATTTATTTTTTTATAAAATCTCCACATAGTTAGTTTAGAATGATACTTTTAAAATAATTCATGGGTCAAGCAGAAATGACAATAAAATTATAAAATATTTTAGGTGAAAAACAACAAAAATTCTAACAAAAAAGAATTCTACCAATAAAAAAAATTTCTACCAAAAAAAAAAAAAAAACCCACACATAAAACCAAAAGAAAATTCTACCAATTATTTGCAATAATTAAAGGCAAGTGAATAGTATTAAACATATCCACTGGGAAAGAAGAATTATTGAAATTAATTAAACCACCCCACTTTTTGGAAAAGACTGGGAGCATTAAAAATTAATCATAAGAGGAAAAAGTTCTTAATCATGTAAAAAATGAAAAGGTGCTTTTGTTTTTACAGATACCGTAAAATATCATGAAACTCTAGGACAGTATCATAATAATGTTACACCATTTAAGATATATCTATGAATATGTACGAAGTAGAAAAATTCCCCAAGAAATACAACTTTGAACCATTTTGCAGTTAGTCTTAATCCCCATCATTAGTATTATTTGGTTTTATGACTGTGGAAACCTAGACTTAGAACAAGTTTGGGCCACAAGACAAGTTCCCAACTATTTAGGAGTTCTCTCTGAATGTGGTGGTAAAAGCTACAGGAGTGATGGCTGGCCAGCCCAATCACGGAATCTCAACTGGTCACTCATTAACTCAATGGTAAAACAGGGATAACAGTAATCTGGGTCTCGAAATGGTTGAAAGCTTTAAGTGAGATTTTATGTCACCGTCGGTGTTTCATACAATTTTTTCTTCTTCTTCCCCAACCCCCACTAACGAGATTGTAGGATATAAAATTCCAGAAATTCAGAACCTTGAAGATAGGCAACTATCGCACCACCAAATGAAGCTGAGAAAAGGGAACTCTTTCGTGTAGCTAGGCTGTGTTGACTGATGACAAGATAGACTAACGCGCTTCTGAATGCCCAGGTCCTAAACCAGCTGGACTCACGTGTGCTCCTCAACACCCAAGAACGAGACCTTAAAAAACCCAGTTCTTCAAAATCGAAAATATTCCCCAACAATCTAAGCTAGTTGTCCACTCTTGCCCTCTCACTAGTAGTTTTCTTTCATAGATTAACTAACGTGGTGACATCATCTCAACAGCTAATTAATGGTTGCTAGATATCTTTGACTTTAAAATGTCCATTGTCACTTTTAGCACATGCATGTCCACGGAGTTAAGCCCGACCAAAAAAAGTACTTGGAATTTTGAATTAGGATTCCTGAGGAGGATACTCAGATTTAGGAAATAAGAATACAAGGAGGCTGAGTTAAAGATGAATGAGAGACAATGACTATTGCACGAACACACTTAATACGAAACTTAATTGTATAGCACTTTTATTTGGCAATCCCGTGCCGGAGGCCTTAATGCCGCAGAGCTGAGCCACTAGCCACGCCTCGGCTCCCTGAAGAGTAGGAGACGGAACTTCCGGTCAGGCGTGCGGGCAGGCCGCTCCCCGCCGGAAGCCTTCCGTGGGCCACGGCCCGGCCTTCCTCCCAGGCCAGGCCCCGCCCCGCCCTGTTCCCCTGCCCGCCTCCCGCGCCCGCTCGTCCCCCTAAGCTGGTTCGGGTCAAGGGGCCGGAGAACCGGCTTCCCGCCTCCAGGGGCAGCGGAACGGCGGGCCGACCAGCGGGCGGCCGGAGCCAGTGGCCGCCATTCCGGTGTCGCTGCGCCCGCGGGGCCCGCCCGAGCCGGCCACCATGCCGCTGGGCCTGAAGCCCACCTGCAGCGTTTGCAAGACCACGTCGTCCTCGATGTGGAAGAAGGGCCCGCAGGGGGAGATCCTCTGCCACCACTGCACGGGCTGGGGCGGCGCGGGCGGCGGGGGCACCGGTTCGGGGGCGGCGGCTTCGGCGCGGCGGCCTTCGCCAGCACCTCGGCCGCCC